GAGAGAGAGAGAGAGAGAGAGAGAGAGAGAGAAAGAAAGTAAGAGGGAAAGACAAAGACAAAGAGAAAAGGAGATCACGAAGCGAGTAAAATCGAAGGATGCTGCAGCACAGTGTTCAAACAACCACAACAAGACGAAACTTCTCTTCACCGCTGGTCTCTGTACCAGCCCTAGTAACCAACCAATCTACCACCTACTGTGCCCTAAACTACAACACAGTGCTCTACTTGCCGTGGTGAAAAGTTCTACACTAACCTTTGCAAAGTCTGGCCCAGTATAGGAGGGCAACAACAAAAAGAGTGCCTTAGTAGAGGAGGGCAACAGGGTGGGAAGGAAGCAAGGCAACAGAGAAACGAGTGCCTCATGGTGGGAAGAGACAATCCTTTGAGGGCTCGAGCTGGCCCACACCAACAGAAAAGTACAACCGAGAAGCGGCCGCAAGAGACAATCGTAGCTGGCCCACACCAACACAAACAGCATTATAGGACTATAACAAAGAAGAGGGCTCAAGCTGGCACGCACCAACACAAAAGTACAAGGGTAGCAAAAACACAAAAGTTCTTGGCACAGCCGTCGATATTATAGCCCTAAAACTGGGAGGAACTTCTGAGGACTGCAAACTGCAATTCAGAGCAACAGAGGACTGCAATTTGTCTTGGCTAACTTTTGCCTCCGCCAGCCTCCCTTGTGCGTGCCCCTCATGCAAGAACACCTTTTTTCGCGCGAGGGCTTGTAACCTCGTCACCGACGATCTTCCGTTTCCTTGACCTCGTAGTTGTCCCACGTGAGGAGTCTTGGCTGTATGCAGGTCCCGCTGCCTCTCACTGTGCGAGCGCTTCTGTGCCTGGTCCAGCTGTTGCTGGCTCGCTCACTGCCCCTTGTGCGCTTGCTGCTGCTGCTGCTGCTACTGCTGCTGGTGGTATTGCTGTGGCCGCTGCGGATGGTTCTGTTGCTGCTGCTGCTGCGGGTGGTTCTGTTGCTGCTGCTGGTGCTTCTGCTGCTGCTGCTGCTGGTGGTGGTGGTGCTGCTACTGCTGCTGGTGTTGCTGCTGGTGCTGTTGCTGCTGCTGCTGCTGCTGGTGATGCTGCTGGTGCTGCTGGTGCTGGTGCTCCTGCTAGTGGTGCTTCTGCTGCAGGTGGTCCGGCTGCTGCTGGTTCGACTGTTGTTGCTACTGCTGCAGCAGTGGTCGGCGTTGTTGCTGCAGTTGTGTCCTCTGTAGCGACTACACAATTGTAAGTCTTATCCTCCTTTGCGGCCTCCTCGCGCCTGCTTTCTCTTTCAATCGTAGGGCCAATATCGTTCAGAATGCGAGCGCGGATTCTCTTGATGCAGCGCGGGCACTTGTCAACCACCAGGCAATTCCTGTTGCAGAAAACGCTGGCGATTGCACCTGTTCCGGACCCGGGAAAACCGTCGATGATATAAGCGCCAGGAGGAGAGAATTTCTCGATCAACCACGCGTACAAAGCGACGGGCTTCTGGTAAGGGCACAACACCTCGAGGTCAGTCGGATGAATATACTTCTTCATGACAGCATCAAACAGCCTGTAGTTGTGCCTGGGGTCCATGCTGACAAATTGTAATGAGCTGCCTCTCGAGAACCGCTTTGGCTGTAGTAGCTGATGACACAAAACTCTGTCGCGTTCACAAGACGAGGCCCTCCTGTGTTCATGACATTCGGCTTGCACCACGTGACCACCTCCTCTCCTGCATTGCAAACCATCTTGAACGCTCGCCGAACCGAGGGCAGCATGTCCAGAGAGCAGAATCCGGCAATTGTCCACAACGGTCCACTGCATACCTCCTTGATGTTCTCAAGGACCTGAACAATGTGTTCCTCAGGAAAAGGAACAGAATCGCCAAAGGACATTGGCAGATTAAACCCGTACGGGAAGTCGCAGATAATCAGAGAGAAAGGCAACTTCTCTATCAAGTTCTTCAAGTCCATCATATCGCCTTCCAAGACTTTCACGTTGCCGCAGTGTTCTTTATATTTCACCTCCGTCCAGTCCAAGAAGTGAGTACCAGCTTTTTCTGAGACGACGAGGTTAGACCTTGTTCTTCGACTTTCGGCCTCCCTTTTGTTATTCAGCTCCTTCCACGCCTTCGCTCGAGCAACGTGCTGTTGCAAAGCTCGAGGTACATCCGCCTTCTGCTTCTTGTTACTTGTGAAGGGCTCCAAAACATTCTTGGTTTTGTGGAGTGGGTAAAGTTCTTCGCAGCTAGCCCAATCTGCTGACTTTGTTTCTGTTAAGAAATACCTAACCACTCGACCGACCCTCTTCGCCACCTCAAACTTCTTCCGCATACCATCAATCGAGAGTTGCTTTGCGGCCACCTGTTCGAGGATGGGAATAACAGACTCGTCATCGAGAGAACCCATCTCCACCCAATGCGCCTGTGGCATGTCAGTTGGCTCAACTACAATTTTTCCATGCTCCACCTGCGCTCCAGGATTGAAGAAACGCAGTACCTGACGTTAGGCTTCAGCAGAATTGAATTTCTTCAATCTTTTCTTCGTTGCCGGCCGAGTTCCCTCTGGGCCACCCGCCTCGCTATCATCACTAGAAATTTCGCCTTTTTCCCAGTAGGGACCTTTATTTTCTGGTTCAGACAATCCCCTTTCAACCACATATCGAATATCTTCAGCTGAAGGGTCCACACTTCCTTGGACCGCATGCAGACCTCAAAATGTGGATCCGACCTCTGCAGAAGATCTTTGTCTTGGTTTGAAAATCCAATTTCCTGCACGCATGCAGTCTTCGTAGCGGCATTCTTTTGGCAGCCCATCGATTCGAACACCGCTCGCCAGCATTTCAGTTTCTGGATGAAACTAAAGTCTTGGTGGAAGCCTGCAATGAGGTTGTGCTCGTGCGCAATCTTACGAGCTTCCTGGACAATGAGGCCGACGTAAATGAAACAATTCGCCTTTTGGAAAGCAGAGACAGTCGGTTGAAGGTTCCTAAGTCGTTCTCTGGCCTCCCTTGTGTGTCCACCACCGAGCACGAAAACTTTGTAACCTCCAGAGAGCAGCTTGTTGAGATCCACATCTTCCTTCGTACGAGCCTGCGAAGGATCAATCAAGCCAACGTGAGCCAGAGTGTCTGCAAAAGGGTTCCTCTTCATGGAGTCCACGATCCGTCGGACCTGCCTCTCCTCGGGCTCGCGAACCTCCAGTGGTCTCTTGCCACTGTCATCAGCAGGGGGTCGAAGGAGGCAAGACGCTAGAAGGGTGAACGAGTTGGCGTCAAGCTTCTTGTCATTAAGCTCTTTTAACTCCTCCCACATTCGAGAGAGCTTCTCAGCCTCGTCGTTAGGAGTAAGCTCCTTCGCCACTGGCAACTTTTCTTCTGTTTGATCCTTCCGTTTCGCGAACTTCTTCTCCGTCGTTTTCCTCTTTCCAGAGTTTGGCTCCTCCGCTTTCTTTTTGTCTTTGGCAACCGTTTTCCGCGCAAGCATTTTCTTCTTCGTTTTCGCACCCGAGCCCGCATCTGCTGCGACAGTGGATCCAACACACGCTTGGAGCGAATAAAAAGGTGACCCTTCCCGCTGCCTTGACCCTGAGGGAGCAGTCCCTTTGGAGACCCTCACTCGACCTTTCGCAGGTTGGGACGCAGACGACCCTGTGGTGAGTGACTCTGCTCTCCTCGAAACACGGACCTCCTCACGAAGTGCCGGAAAGGTATACGCTCTGACAGTTTTACAAAATTCCTGCAAAGGAACACGTTGAGCGAAACAAGGAGTGAGAATGAGACAACGAAAGTAGTCTTATAGCACTATAATGTGAAAAGCTGCGAAAGTAGTCTTATAGCACTATAATTTCAAGAGAGAGCACCGCACTGCGAAAACAGTTAAGAACATCGGACTGCGAAGGTAGTCTTGTAGCACTTTAATTGGAAAAGAGAGCACCAGACTGCGAAAGCAGTCTTATAGCACTATAATGTGAAAAGAGAGCACCAAACTGCGAAAGTAGTGTTTTAGCACTCTAATTTGAAAAAAGAGCACCTTACAGCGACAACAGTTAAGAGCACCGGACTGCAAAAGTAGTCTTTTGACACTAAAATTAAAAAAGAGAGCACCAGACTGCAAAAGAACACTTTTAGCACTTTAAGGAGGATTACAGCACTATAATGCGAAAGAGACTGCAAAAGAACACTAAAAGTAGGATTATAGCACTATAATGCGAAAGAGAATTACAGCACTGCAAAAACAGGATTATAGCATTACAATGTGAATGAGAATTATAACACTGTAATGTAAAAAGAGCACTGGACTACAAAAGCAAGATTAGAGCACTTTAATGTCACCAGAGAATTGTAGCAGCGCACTCCGAGAAATGATTTCTAGCAGTGCATTTCAAGAAAAGATTTGTAAGCAATAGCCTGGACAATTAGGATTAAAACACTAAAATATCACAAGAGAATCGCAGTGGCGCACTACAAGAGCAGGATTACAGCGCTTTACTGCTGTTCACTGAAAGAAGAGACCTTCCTCAAACAAACTGTCGTACCTTGAAGCCCTTCTGATTCGCCTTTTAGAGATGGGAATCTAGCTTCTGCTCCCAAACAACCATGCTTGCACAATGCAGAACGAACTTGGTCAAAATCGACCCCACATTCACCCAAGCAAGTGCCAGATCCTCGTGGCTCTCTCGTGCAGAGGCGAAGTATATTAGTTCCCTGCAGTATTTGTATCGCTCCTGGTCTGCATGTTTGGTCCATAGTTCCACAGCCAATTGGAACAGCACAGTGCTCCACAGGCAAGAGATTAATTTCTCGGACTGCTTTACCCTCCTCAAAAACTTCTCGATGTACGCATGTTGGTTCGCCCTCTCTTGTTCAACAGTCCGCTCAAAGACAGCGTTGTCTTCTTCCTCGTCCTCCTCTTCCTCTTTTTCTTCTTCCTCATCCTCGTCACCCTGTTCACCCTCGTCTACTGCTTCCTCGCGCTCGCTACCAAAGTCACCCTCGTCACCCTCCTCATCCTCCTCATCCTCCTCCACTTCCTCTTCCTCCTCCGAACCAAGAGTGTCTTCTTCCGATTCAGTCACTTCAAACTGAGACTGGATAGTAGGCGTTTTCTCGGCATCAGCGCTGTAGTGCAAAGTGGGGATTTCAAACACACCCTCAAAATCAACAGGGGCGCCCTGGCTGCGCCATCCAGTACTTGTTGAGGTCCCTGAAATGTCCTTGATCCTCAACGAGTTTCCCTTCGACTTCGTCATTTTTTATGCTCTCGGACCTGGAACACAGGAAACTCGAAGTCCCAACCCTAGACAAAAGAAACCCCATGCAAAAGTCAAGTTTATATGTTGATGAATTTAGACTAGAAACAATGTTGCAGACGGGTAGCTTAGGAGTCAAGTGCAACAAGCTAACTCAATCTTTATGTCTTGTGTCTGTTGATGTCCCACAGTGAGAGAGAGAGAGAGGAAAAAAAAAAAAAAAGAGAGAGAGAGAGAACGTCTGCTTTTCCTTTTAGAGCACGGAGACACAAAGAGGGAACGCTCGTACACAATATTTCAGTAGACAGATGTAAAGGATTAACAGCAAACTTAAACAAATGTTTAGGTGCTGTATGTCAGTCACGATGAATTTTTAGGACTATATTTGTTTTGGTGCTGTCTGTCAGTTACGATGAATTTATAAGACTATAAACACTCTCTCTCTCTAGCTAATCGGGCCAGCTGACCTGTCGCTACCCTTCTTCCCGCGAATACAATGTGCGGTCATTATGTATTTGCGGTATCTTTCAGTCTAAATACAGCCAGGATGACCGTGCACTGTATTCGGGGTGGAAAAAAACAGGGTAGCAAATTGGCCCCAGCGGACCTGTCGCTACCCATCTTAACCCGAATGCAACGTACAGGTCATTACAACTGTATGTATTTGGGGCAGCTTTGAGTCTAGATAAAACAATAATGACCTTTCGCTCCGGTTAAGGCGGGTAGCGAACTGGCCCTTCTGACGTAACCCCACCTTCTCCCGCCTTCTCCCGCCTTTCGCCGACGGCAGTGACCACCTCCCAGCCCCCACAATTTTCAGGAGATAATTGTTGTCCCTGCCACGTAGGATAGGAGGAATAATGATCCAAACAGCAAGGGACCGATCGGAGGGATCCAGAGTACTCGCACAACACAAAACAAAATCAATGGTGCAGGCTCTTCTTTCTGGAGGGATCCAGAGTACTCCCAAAACAAAACACGCAAAGATAATGAAAAAGAATGTTCGGTGCTCTCATGCTCTTCTTTTTCTTAGTGTGAAAGAAGCGGCATATGATAGGGCATTTCCTTATACTTTTTCTTTCTTTTGTGTTTTTTTCTTTTTCATTTTTTGCGCGCGAAGCTGCAACGGGTTACCTAGTGTGGATGAGATTCTCTCCTCTCAGCCTCCTGTCAACTTATTACGCGCTGCCACGTGGCGTGTGAAGAACAAAGATTGTTATTCTTCAGATTGGAGGGCAGAGAGGCAGCAAGCGAGGGAGAGGGGCAGACAAAGGGAGGGAGCGGGAGGAAGAGGGACGGAGAGGGCCGGAGAGGGAGGGAGAGGGACGGAAAGGGACGGAAAGGGAGGGAGAGGGAGGGAGGGGGAGAGAGAGGGAGGGAGAGAGAGAGAGGGAAAGGGAGGGAGGGAGAGGGAGAAGGCAGAGGGAGGAGGTAGGGAG